AAGTATATAGCAATAAGTGCCCATATGAGGAGAATGGAGAGATCCAAAACTGACACCCTATCGTCAAAATTGAAAGAGCTAGAGGAGCAAGATCAAAAAAACTCAAAACCCAGCAGAAGACAAGAAATAACTAAGATCAGAGCTGAACTGAAGGAGATTGAGACACGAAAAACCCTTCAAAAAATCAATAAATCCAAGAGCTGGTTTTTTGAAAAGATCAACAAAATAGACAGACCACTAGCCAGATTGATTAAAAAGAAAAGAGAGAACAACCAAATCGATGCAATAAAAAATGATAAAGGGGAAATCACCACAGATTCCACAGAAATTCAAACCATCATCAGAGAATATTACAAACAACTCTATGCACATAAACTAGTAAACCTGGAAGAAATGGATAAATTCCTGGACTCCTGCATCCTCCCAAGCCTAAACCAGGAGGAAGCTAAAACTATGAATAGACCAATAACAAGGTCAGAAGTCGAGGCAGCAATTAAGAGCCTACCATACAAAAAAAGCCCAGGTCCAGACAGGTTCACAGCCGAATTCTACCAGACACACAAAGAGGAGCTGGTACCATTCCTTCTAAAACTATTTCAAACAATCCAAAAAGAGGGAATGCTTCCCAAATCATTTTACGAGACCAACATCATTCTGATACCAAAACCCGGCAGAGACCCAACAAGAAAAGAAAACTTCAGGCCAATATCCATGATGAACATAGATGCAAAAATCTTCAATAAAATATTGGCAAGCCGAATGCAACAGCAAATCAAAAAACTTATTCACCATGATCAAGTAGGATTCATCCCGGGGATGCAAGGCTGGTTCAACATACGCAAGTCTATAAACGTAATTCACCACATAAACAGAACGAAAAACAAAAACCACATGATTATCTCAATTGACGCAGAGAAGGCATTTGACAAAATTCAACAGCCCTTTATGCTAAAATCCCTCAATAAACTCGGTATCGATGGAACATATCTCAAAGTAATAAAAGCTATTTATGACAAACCAACAGCCAATATCATACTGAATGGGCAAAAACTGAAGCATTCCCTTTGAAATCTGGCACTAGACAAGGATGCCCTCTTTCACCACTCCTATTCAATATAGTTCTGGAAGTTCTAGCCAGAGCAATCAGGCAAGAAAAAGAAATAAAGGGTATTCAAATAGGAAAGGAGGAAGCCAAATTGTCTCTATTTGCAGACGACATGATAGTATACCTAGAAGACCCCATCACCTCAGCCCAAAAACTCCTGAAACTGATAAGCAACTTCAGCAAAGTCTCAGGATATAAAATCAATGTGCAAAAATCACAAGCATTCATCTACACCAATAACAGACTTAAAGAAAGCCAAATCAAGAACAAACTGCCATTCACGATTGCTACAAAAAGAATAAAATACCTTGGAATACAACTCACAAGGAACGTAAGGGACCTCTTCAAGGAGAACTACAAACCACTGCTCAACGAAATCAGAGAGGACACAAACAGATGGAGAAACATTCCATGTTCATGGTTAGGAAGAATTAACATCGTGAAAATGGCTATACTGCCCAAAGTAATTTACAGAATCAGCGCTATCCCCATCAAGCTACCATTGACTTTCTTCACAGAACTGGAAAAAACCACCATGAACTTCATATGGAACCAAAAGAGAGCCCACATAGCCAAGTCAATTCTAAGCAAAAAGAACACAGCGGGGGGCATCACACTACCGGATTTCAAACTATACTACAAGGCTACAGTAATCAAAACAGCATAGTACTGGTACCAAAACAGAGATATAGACCAATGGAACAAAACAGAGGCACCGGAGGCAACACAACATATCTACAACTATACAATCTTTGATAAACCTGACAAAAACAAGCAAGGGGGAAAGGATTCCCTGTTTAACAAATGGTGTTGGGAAAACTGGCTAGCCATGTGCAGAAAGCAGAAACTGGACCCCTTCCTGACACCTTACACTAAAATTAACTCCAGATGGATTAAAGACTTAAACATAAGACCTGGCACCATAAAAACCCTAGAAGGAAATCTAGGCAAAACTATCCAGGACATAGGAGTAGGCAAGGACTTCATGAACAAAACACCAAAAGCATTGGCAACAAAAGCCAAAATAGACAAATGGGACCTAATCAAACTCCACAGCTTCTGCACAGCAAAAGAAACAGTCACTAGAATAGATAGGCAACCAACAGAACGGGAAAAAATTTTTGCAGCTTACCCATCTGACAAAGGGCTGATATCCAGAATTTACAAAGAACTCAAACGGATTTACAGGAAAAAAACAAACAAGCCCAATCAAAAGTGGGCAAAGGATATGAACGGACACTTTACGAAAGAAGACATATATGAGGCCAACAATCATATGAAAAAATGCTCATCGTCACTGGTCATCAGAGAGATGCAAATCAAAACCACATTGAGATACCATCTCACACCAGTTAGAATGGCGATCATTAAAAATTCTGGAGACAACAGATGCTGGAGAGGATGTGGAGGAAAAGGAACACTTTTACACTGTTGGTGGGAGTGTAAATTAGTTCAACCATTGTGGAAGACAGTGTAGCGATTCCTCAAGGCCTTAGAAATAGAAATTCCATTTGACCCAGCAATCCCATTACTGGGTATATATCCAAAAGACTATAAATCGTTCTACTATAAGGACACATGTACACGAATGTTCATTGCAGCACTGTTTACAATAGCAAAGACCTGGAATCAACCAAAATGCCCATTGATAAGAGACTGGATTGGAAAAATGTGGCACATATACACCATGGAATATTATGCAGCAATCAGAAATGATGAGTTTGTGTCGTTTGTAGGGACATGGATGAATCTGGAGAATGTCATCCTCAGCAAACTGACACAAGAACAGAAAATGAAACACCGCATATTCTCACTCATAGGTGGGTGATGAAAAATGAGAACACATGGACACAGAAAGGGGAGTACTAAACACTGGGGTCTATTGGGGGGAAAAGAGGAGGGCCAGTGGGAGGGGGAGGTGGGGAGGGATAGCCTGGGGAGAAATGCCAAATGTGGGTGAAGGGGAGAAGGAAAGAAAAGCACACTGCCATGTGTGTTCCTACGCAACTGTCTTGCATGCTCTGCTCATGTACCCCAAAACCTAAAATCCAATAAAAAATTTAAAAAAAAAAACTACACATTAGATACTTCTGTTATCTAGAAGATATAAATAACTTTTGGAACTCAACAACAAAGACAACCCAACCTAAAAACTGACAGTAGACTTTAACACACGCTTCGCCAAGAAGCACATGAAAAGATGCTTAACATCATTACAATTAAAACCATAAAGAAATACCCCTTAACTTACACTAGAATACTTAAACTAAAAAAAAAAACAGTGTTGACAAAGATGTACAGAAACCTGAACCATTAAACACTGCTTGTGACAATATAATATGGTGCAGCATAAATGTAAACTATTTGGTGTTTCTTCAAACAGATACAAATAGATTTACTGTATGACTCAGTGATTCTATTCCTAGGTATATACCCCAAAGACCTGAAAACAGGTGGTCAAATAAAAACATATATGCTCTTTAAATGTGTCAAGATCATAAATATGCAGGAAACCCTTGGGTGAAAACTGTATCAGAATGAAAAAACACACTATACCCCTAGGTGGGGCAGAAGGTAAAAGTGAAATGAGTTTGTGAACTGAAATATCACCTAGGAACCATGCTGATTTCCTGATCTAGGGCATATGTGGTAGTAACCTGGGAGAGTTTCCATGCTTTGGGTAAAATATACCGGAGTATTTTCTGGGACACTGCAAATCTGGTACAGCAATAACTGCTGGGGACTCTAAGAAAAGAAACAGGTTATATTTTTTTTTTTTTTTAATTTTTTATTGGATTATAGGTTTTGGGGTACATGAGCAGAGCATGCAAGACAGTTGCGTAGGTACACACATGGCAGTGTGCTTTGCTTTTCTTCTCCCCTTCACCCACATTTGGCATTTCTCCCCAGGCTATCCCTCCCCACCTCCCCCTCCCACTGGCCCTCCCCTTTTCCCCCCAATAGACCCCAGTGTTTAGTACTCCCCTTTCTGTGTCCATGTGTTCTCATTTTTCATCACCCACCTATGAGTGAGAATATGCGATGTTTCATTTTCTGTTCTTGTGTCAGTTGCAGCACTGTTTACAATAGCAAAGACCTGGAATCAACCCAAATGCCCATTGATAATAGACTGGATTGGAAAAATGTGGCACATATACACCATGGAATATTATGCAGCAATCAGAAATGATGAGTTCGTGTCGTTTGTAGGGACATGGATGAATCTGGAAACAGGTTATATTTTGCACTGCTACTGGAAGTTTCCTAGAAGTATGACATTATTAAAAAGTAAATTCCTTTTTAAAACAACCGTATCAATACTATGCCAGAAAAGCAGAGAAATCACCAAAATCCACTATAGGGGCTACGATTCATCCAAAGCTGTGAACCCTTATAAAAGCCTCAATGTCAACAAACTCCACTTATTAGATATTATTATTAATATTAGCGGCTACTGCGTGGATATGTTAGTGTTACAGCCCAGTGTGAATATTACTGTTAGGGCATGGTGTACATACTATATTGATGTTGGAGAACCGTGCAAATACTACATTAGCATGAGGGCACAGTGTGGCTAGTATTACATTAGTATTAGAAACAGTAGTGTGGATGTTAGATTAGCGTTAGGGTATGGTGTGGATATTATATTGGTGTTAGGGCACAGTATGGATATCACAGTAATGTTAGGGCATGGAATAATTATTACATCAGAGGCCACCATGAGAATATATCTTAGCAGCCACTGTGTCTGACACATTGACAATGATACCAGGATGTACTCGTAACAATGGAATTTGGGGATTTCATTTTTCTAAATGAATTTCTTACTTTGCTGAGTACTCTGAAGACTGTCTTCTCTGCACTCGGGGCCATGGAAAGAAAGCTTTTTACTCACCAATGAACAACATTTAGTTAACACGACCCTCGTGCTTCCCTGAGGAAGTCGAAGCTCCTAGCTACTTCTGGTACCTCAGAGGGAAGTTGGTCAAGGGTGGGTTCGTGCGCCCTCTGGTGACGCCACAAATCAGCAAGGACACTCTTGCTCAGTTTCTCCACGGACATGCACTCGCGCGTGGCTGTCCTGAAATACCTATAAAATTCAATATTAAGTTTATTCAATCTAATAATTTTGAAAATTCAAACCAAAATGAAGACCACTGTGGCCATATCCTTCCCAAACATGGTGATGGAAGATTTTGGAAGCCATGTAGAATAAAATGAATACATACACAAATTAAGAAAAACACAAACCTTACTCAAAATAGTCCAGAGACTGTAATTTTAAATGCAAAACTATAAAAATTCTAAAATAAAATCTATGTGACATTGAGTTTGGTGTTGAGCTATAACACAAAATATCAAATGCCAATTCATGAAAATATTGATAACACAGACTTTTTAAAACTAAGTATTCTACTGTGAAAAACTGTATTCAGAGAACAAAAAGACAAGACAGATGTGAGAAAATATTTACAAAACACATACATGATTTGAAAACTGGATAAATATTTGAACAGATACCCAACCAAAGCAAATATACCGATAGTAGTGTGGGCATGGTGGCTCATACCTGTCATCCCAGAACTCTGGAATGTTGAGACAGGTAAATCATCCAAGGTCAGGAGTTCAAGACCAGCCTGGCCAACATGGCGAAACCCCGTCTTTACTAAAAATATAAAAAATTAGCCCAGCGTGCTGGTGGGCACCTGTAATCCCAGCTACTTTGGAGGCTAAGGAAGGAAAATTGCTTAAACATGGGAGGTAGAGGTTGCAATGAGCCAAGAGTGTGCCATTGCATTCCAATCTAGATTACAGAGCAAGATTCCATCTCAAAAAAAAAGTTAATAACATACCTGATACATGTTGATATGTTAATACGTGGGGAAACTAGGTTGGGTCTCCACAGGAAATCTGCATTTTCCTCCCAATTTCAGTGTGAATCTAAAATTAAAACAAAACCTTTATTTACAAATTGTAAATTTTTTCAAATATCTGCTTAATTATTTGTGCAAATAATAAGTAGGAACTGATACCACCTACTCCTACCTTTTAAAATAAGGGCATTCCTGATGCTGCAAAATAAATTATGCAAACAGATATAAATTCAAGGAAATGCCTATTTTACATGGTTAATGTTAAAACAACACATACATGTAAACATATTTATCATATCTTTTTTCTTGTGGTGTGGTTCACTCTCTAGGAAACCTGGTCACCTTAAAACCAGGGAAATAATTCATACTTTGGAGACTATTTCAATTTATAGCTAGATGTTTTCAAAAGCATAACTTTAAAAAAAATTAAAATAGCAATTGATTGTGACTGAATCACTTATTCTAATGAAAGCTAGTCTTTGTTTTGTTTCCCAGCATTCCTTTTACCTACAAGGCAACAAAAGCAAATTTTTCCATAAGAAAATATATTCAAAGACAGGAAGACTGTAAATGAAATTTGTGACCACAATTATTCAATGTTTCATCAGGATGCCTTCTAATACAGAAGAGTTTAAAAAGATAGTCAAAGTTATTCCCCCAAAGATGCTTTGAAGAAATCAATGAAACTAGAGGAACAAAAGTGGCAGAACATTCAATGTAACTTTAGATGTCACTCTGTCTTGTGAGAAAAAATAATTTACCTTTTAGAGGATCACTAAGAATTACTGGAAGCCCAGACTCTGAAATGTGTCTAAATTTAGATGTCAGTATCACTAGCATTGAGTATGATAAAAAGGGATCTGTGTTTTATTTGCATAATACAATACTAAAGCAGTATTTAATGCTCCAAGGAAAACAAGTTATGCCTGAAATACAGTTGAAAATATCAGAATCAAAATAAGCTTCCTGGCCAGGCATGGTGGCTCATGCCTGTAATCCCAACACTTTAGGAGGCCAAAGCAGGCAGATCACCTGAGGTCGGGAGTTCGAGACCAGCCTCACAAACATGGAGAAACCAATCTCTACTAAAAAGACCAAAATTACCTAGCGTCGTGGTGCATGCCCTTATTCCAAGCTACTCGGGAGGATGTGGCAAGACAATCGCTTGAACCCGGGAGGTGGAGGTTTGTGGTGGGCTGATATGCCATTCCTCTGCCCTACTGTATAAGTAAAAATGCAGATTCACTGAACCAGACTAAATTATATTTAGTGGAAGGCTGACCAAGTATTCAAAAGAATGCAACCTTTAGTTTTATCTGTTTCTGACCTAGAACCACCTCCCTACCCCTCCTTCCTACTTCTAGTTGTTCCACCTTACTGAACCAAATGACTATACATCTTACACATATTGATTGGTGTCTCATGTCTCCAAAATATATAAAAACAAGCTCTACCCTGACCATCTTGGGCCCATGTTGTCAGGACCTCCTGAGGCTGTGTCATAGGCATGTCCTTAACCTTGGTGAATAAGCTTTCTAATTGACTGTGACCTGACTCAGATACTTTGGGATCACAATTCACAATCACCATGGCGTGACAGTTGACTACAGAATTCAGTACAGAGATGTGCTATACAGGTTTGTAGCCTAAGAGCAATAAGCTATGCCGTATCACTTACATGTGGAGTGGGCTACATCGTTTAGGTTTTATAAAAACACTCTGTGGTGTTCGCACAAAGATGAAATCACTAAGGACAAATTTCTCAGAAAGCATCCACATTGTTAGGAGATGCTTCAGTGTATTTTAAATGGTTAAAGCCTAGTAGGAAAAAAAAAAAAAGAAATTCAACTCCTGTTATGGTTTAAAAACAAAGCTTAATAGAGTTAACATATTTCATCTAATCTAAGATGCTAAAAATTAACAAATATTATTTTATGCACCATCACAAATAGGTTGCCAATTAAACTGACTTTCTGAATGACAGCAAAAATGTGAACTTACTTCTATTAATGCCAGGAAAGTAAAACGAAAATGAATTATCGTTCTGATACGTTAAAGAAAAAAAGGAAGAAGCCGTTAGCCTGAGGTCTTGCCTAAGCAAACGGAAACCACACTTGGAGTCATTTAAACTGACTTAAAAACATTAACAAACCAACCAGTCAATAACAAAAAGCCCAGCTGCCAGTTGGCTGTCTGACTAGGGATGCTGAGGGAACCATCCCCAAAACAGGCGGTCGCCTAGCTGGAGCCAATGACAAACCTCAAGTAGCTGCCACCAGTAAAAGCTCAAAGCCCCAAGCCCAGTTTTCCGTTCTCCTGCTTCAGGCATGATTAATGAATCATTCCTTTGTTCAAATAAACTGTTTAAATTTATTTTGCCTAAAATTCTTCTAACCCCTAACCCTAATCGTAACCCTAACCCTAACTCTAAACCCTAACCCTAACCCCAAACCCTAACCCTAACCCTAAACCCTAAACCCTATCCCTAACCCTAACCTCTCATTTATTATCAATGGAATACATAATAGTATGCCAACCAAATATATACCCACCTTTGCTTACTTTTAATCAGTTTTTTTTTTTTTTTTTTTTGAAACAGAGTCTCACTCTGTTTCCCAGGCTGGAGTGTAGTGGCACAGTCTTAGCTCAGTGCAACCTCTGCCTCCCAGGTTCAGGCGATTCTCCAGCCTCAGCCTCCCAAGTAGCTGGGATTTTAAGCACCCACCACCATGCCCAGCTAAATTTTAATTTTTAGTAGAGACAGCGTTTCACCATGTTGGATAGTCTGGTCTCAAACTCTTGACATCAGGTGATCTATCTGCCTTCGCCACCCAAAGTGCTGGGATTACAGGTGTGAGCCACTGACCTCAGCCACCTTTGGTTCTGACCTCATGAATGTTTCCCAAACGCTTTCTCCACTACAACTCTCCATGATGAGGAGTTGCTAATCAAACTATTCAAACATCACAGTAAGCAAACAATCTCTCAATGCTTCTCAACAGAACTCCTGAAAGAATACTGGAGACTTCATTTTTTTATTAGTGATAAAGCTCTGTAACTCACTGTGTTGAACAACCAGAACATCCACACCTGCTTTTCCTAGGGTGCTGGCCCAGCTTGCAAGGGATGCCTATGCCCAGGCTGCCCTCTGAAAACTCAAGGAACACCCTGGATCCCCAGAATGCAACACAGGAGACCTGTCCATTGTGACACTGCACCTGGAAGACAACACAGTGTTACAAATGGAAGCTCCCTCTGCCAGGCTCAAGGCCTTCTCTCCCATCTTGGTACCTCCTGATCCTGGAAAGATCCTCCCATTCTAGACTCAGAAGAGAACATTGCCCCCACCCAGCCCCAGGTTGACTAACATCCAGCCATAAGTCATTCCTGCCCCTTGTTTATCTTTTCCCACTTTATTCACTCCAACAGCACTAGCTGAGCCCTCCGCATCACCATGAGCTGTGGATCCAGAAGTGGAAAGCAAAACACAGTGCTCAGAGAAGACCTTGCCTGGCTAGAGGGCACGGACTGGCTCTGCTCAATGGCAAGCAAAAACACAGGTAATGAAATTGGCACTGGGGGATCCAGGGACCAGCCATGAGTGACTGGAAAAGAAAATTTAAGGACAGGCTCTGTCTCAGGGGGCACTCGGTGACCAACCCACCCAATCCTTTCTGCACATCAGAACAGGCTTTAAGGGGCACTGGTTGATTAGATCCACCCAGTCCTCTTTCTACCCATTAGGATTGGCTCTGTCTTGGGGAATACAAGTGACAAGACCCATCCAGTCATCTTTCTTCTCATCAGGAAAGGCTCTGTCCAGTGTGACACCAAGTGACAAGACCCACCCAGTTATCTTTCTACCAATCAGGATAGGCTCTCAGGGAGACATTGGGTAAACAGACCCATCCAGTCCTCTTTCTACCCATCAGGTGCCATTGTAAGTGCTTGGCAGTGATCATGACAAAACTCTCTTCCAACACGAGCCTCAAGCAAGTAGAGTGTTAGGAAGCAAATGCGTTACACATGGAGCAGAGTCACTCGGTGGGTCACAGAGGGCAACTGTAGAGAGGGTCACAGCAGGCACATGGAGGAGAAGTCGGAGATTACAAAAGTTAACAAAGTGTAGTTTGCTAAGAAGTTATCAGCCTAGGCTCTGACGGAGACAACATGCCTTTATGACCAAATCAGAGGGAGCAGGCAGAAGAACAGAGATGGACTAGTACATTAAGGACATTTAGGCCATACCCTGAGAAAGCAAGTTATTTTCTCCCCTGAGTCTACAAGCCTAGAAAACAAGCATTAAAATGCCCTGATCTCAGACACAGGACAACAGGTCTGGAGGATGAGGCTCATGCTGTCCTCTTTCCTGCCCAACAGAGCCACCACCTAACCCAATGTCCATCTGCCTAGGGCATTCTCAGGTCAAAGAGACAGGAGAAAAATGTCTGTGAATGGAGCAAGCAATGAGGACAGCTCTGCAGAGTGGGCAACCTAAAAAGGGGCTGTGGAGCACTAAGCCTGTGAGGAAGGTGCATGGAGCAATTGGTGAAAAAAATCTCAATGCTTAAGGCATAGCAGGGAAGTGGGCAGAGAGAGACTTCCCTGGTCCAAGCTTCCACTGGGCTACCCACCTGCAACCCTAACCCAATCAATACACCAACCCAAGCCAAATCAGAACCCAAACACGAATCCTAACTTCTAACCCCTGAACCCTAACCCCAGCATTAACCTTATCCCTATAATAGCTCTGCATTATAACTTCTGTCACAGATTGAGTTTTATCTGTTTATACAGTTATGAGCATCTGGACTTTCCCTCCGTGCATGCAGGAAGACTTTCCATGATTTCCTGGCATTTGAGGAAGGGATGGAGTGATTTCTATATATTGAACGTACATTAGGCTGGTGTTAGGAATTTACAAACATCACAGCTTTTAATCATCCATGTTATATGTATTGCCCAGTTTTTAAGTGGACCACTGAATTTTTTTCCCAATTCAAGCTCACAGCTTAATGCTCTTCACTAAATCTCTGTTTGTGCAACATTAAATTATATGGGAATCCA